TAGTAAGGCAGGTAAATGCCCTAAAATTGACTACTACAGAAGTACCTCCATATTTAATCAGATGTTTCTGAGATGTGTCTTAGTTTCTGAAACATGGCAAGTTTTGCATGGAGATTATATAAGCAAAACTAACACCTTCACCTGCTAAGGCCCCAAACAGACCTCCCAAGTAAAATATGAAAAAGGCGCAAAGAGAGAGCTTTAAAATAAGACCTGAGAGACAACAGAGAGTCTAGAGATCCTAAAAGAAGAACAACAGCTATGGAACTGGAAAATAAAGACAATACTATTTTGAAGGAAAAGAAGTAGGAACTTTTCAAATAAGTGAAACTGCAGCACTGCTTAAAACAGAGTTGAAGATTTTGTGAGGGATTCATTTATCAAAGTAAAGGAAATAAATAATAAAAAAGACAGGGAGCTCTATCAGGGAGGAAAAATATGGCAGTTGGCAAAAGAATACCAGCTCAAATAAAAGAGGAGAAAAGACAATAAAAGTTGTAAGTCTTTCCCCTGTAAGAAAGGCCTTATTAAACTTCATTAATTTAATCCCATAGAGTAAAAGAACTGTAGTGCTGGCATTTATCTGAGAAATAAACAGATACATGTTTTGCAATGAGGATAGCATTTAAGAGCTCATTTTAGAAATAAGACCAATTAAAGAATGACAGGAATCAGGCCGACGGGCTGTTCTTTTTCTTTCTGAAAAGTAATATTTTACTGAAATCAGAGACTCTCTGAAAGACTAGAATTCAGGGAAGAGAACAAAAAAGAATTCCAGGCAGTATTTTAAATTACAGTTAAAGACAAAGCTCCCTATATTCTACTTTCAAATTTCAAAGTCCAGATTGTACTTATGGAACAATCTCAGTTTAAACAGTATAGGTCAAAAGAAGTAGAATTAAAGAAAAAAAAATCTGCTTTGTGAAAATGGTGGTGATAGGAAGGCAATGTAGAACATATAGATGAAAAGTAATACAGGTTGGAGAGGACCAGATTAGGAGTATTAGGAAAATTAGGAGTTGAAAGAGGACTGATGATTGCGAATGGTCACCAACTAGATAATAGTCTAAAAGATTCAGCCATTCCTATCTAGTTATCATGTAATTAATCTTAATTCTTGCAAAATATCTCTATGTTCACCTTGTAATTTAGAAATGACTGCACAATGAGTACACTCACAAACAGATTTTAGTATTATCAATTTGCTCCCATGCTCATGGACCCGAAAAAAAAGCCTAGTATGTGTAGGACTGATGATATTCAAACTTTGCATAACAGTGAGTACAAACTACTAAGCGTCATGACCCACATATCTATGTTATAGGGAAGGCATAAGTGGGAAAACATATTATTTTTCCTACCCTTTTGTAGAGAAACAAGGCAAGCTAATGTGAAGTTCAAAGTTAGAAAATAATAATCAAAGCACGTATTTCCTTTTGGAAAATAATTGGAACAAGATACCAGAGCAATCAAGATTTAGTGGAGGTCAAATTAAAATAGAGGGGATAAAAAAAAAAAAGTCCTGAAGAAATAGAAAACAACAACAAAAAAGAGGTACCAGAAAGAAATAACCACAATTTCTGGAAACAATACAACCCAGCATATTTGAAATGCCACCATTGGAGTCAAGATACTAGATTAGATAGATAACTATTAGACTAAATTAGATAGATAACTAGTTCGTCTCAGTTAACAACCACAGAATCACAGAACGTTCAAGGTTGGACGGGACCTCTAGAGATCATATAGTCCAACCTTCCTGCTCAAGCAGGGACACCTAGAGCACGGGGCAAAGGGCCGCATCCAGACTGGATTCGAAGACCTTCAGAGAAGGAGACTCCACAACCTCTCTAGACAGCCTGTTCCAGGGCTCTGTCATCCTCACAGGAAAGTAGTTCCTCCTCACATGGAGATGGAACTTCCTGTGTTTCAACTTATACCCATTTGCAAACAATCATCTTTTTTTGTGTCAATTTATACCAATACCTATTTCGAAAACAATCATAGCTCTCTTGTCCTTTAGGGTGAGAGGTTGTTATTTACTTTTTTCTTTTTTTTTTTCCTAATGCTGGCTCAATTTAATATACAGGATATTCAGGATATTCAACACGGAACAACATTAAATTCCTTACTTACATTGAGATGCATAAACTCTTTACTTAAACTGAGACACACTGTGCCCAAAGCATTTCCTTTCTTCCTTAATACATCTCTATGTCCAAGAACAGAACTCAGGAGTAGAACTTTTTATTAATTCACTCCAACTATCTTTTTTTCATAAATGACTAATAATTTTGAATTACAATATTCTTAAAATTCTTTATCAAGATCTAATTTTAGAAATGCTAAAAAAAGCTATCCCTGAAAAATAAAGTTATAAGAAGTATTTCATATTTGAGCATAGTTGGGTTCAAATATTTTTGAAAAATCTTGATTTAGCCTTTCTAATATTTGTCTGTCTTTATGAGAACAGTCATTCATCTACAGATGCATTTTCTTTCAGTATCAAACAAAATCAGTATCAACAAAATGCATTTTCTTTCAGTATCACATATGTAGCAAGAATAAATATACCTAACAAATAATTTATTCTGCACTTTTAGACAATTCTTTTCAGCTTGAAGCATCTCTACAATTTTACTATTCCATTAGTGAAGTTCATAATGAAAACATATACCGTGTCCCTGACCAACATCTCTCATAAACTAGCATCTCTGTGATAGAATATTCAAAATATTTAATACTCCCCTCATCACTAATTCAAAAGAATTTTGAGTATCAATTAGGGTTATAGATGTTGCCAATTGAATATAAAGTCTTTTTTATTAAATCTTGCCACATCACTGAGTTTGAATTCTACTGAAAAAAGTGTTACAGAGACTCGATTTAACAACTAACTCCAAGGCCAGAGTTTCTTTTCTAGGTCACTCTGCAAAACAAGTTCAGTGCTAACTTAAGATATAGCTACCAAATCATTAAAACAGTTTATAAGATTATTCATTAAATATTTCAGAATGAAGAAATAATAGAAAGTACTCCATGGGAAATATTTTATAATGAATACAATAGTAATGTCAAAATATAAATGCATATATCTAAAATTTTTAAATGAAGGATACCATAGAGGTTATATTTTGTAAGCTATTGAAAACCAACAGTATCTGGCAAACTGATCTAGTAAGATAAACATGTCTATATACTACATATAAATTTTATAAAGATAATGGTGAGGTCCAGTTTTATATATAATATACATTACAATTTAATGTATCACTACTGTTTAATTTTCTAAAATTCATGATGAAGATTTTTTTATAGATACATATGTAGAAACACATATAGGAAAACAGAAGGCATTAATCTAAGCCTTTTTTTCCCTGTGATTTCCTGTACCACAGAAAAGAGAATAAATGCATAAATGTGCTATAGCAGGTAACTATAACACACGTAGATTCCTATAACACATGTAGATTACCAGACATAGTAAACTGTCTCACTCTCATACATATGACTCTGCCTGTTGATTGCTCTTTCCTGGTCCTTTTCTATTCTTTTCCTTACGATCTATTATATCATATATATATGTTATAATATAAAACAGCATTTCTTTTCTTCACCATATTTAAGCTCCTAAATAGGGCAAGTTGCATAGTCTTCTTCAGAAAGGGCTTATTCTTGTTTATTTTTCTCAATATCAACGTAGTGTAAATTACAATATAGATAGCAATTATATGTAGATATTAGTGCAATCATATACTATTTAATTATTCAAGATTTATGCATACATTCTATTGTGAATATATGAATACAGTGAAGAATTTGCCATTGGCATTAATAGCTTAGACTTGTTCTACCCAAATTCATGAACCCTAGAATTAGGAACTTCATTTAAATTAAATGGTAGGCCTTCATCAGTAGCCAATGGAGAGGAACAAGAACATTTTGAATGCAGTTCATTCTTGTCCAAGAAGGTAGGCAGAAAGAAAAAATCATATTCTCTCTATACATGCATCTACCTTATACTAGGAGTTTAGCTTTTATCCGGCTTAATTTTAGAAACAGAAATCAAGCGAATAAGCACTAACACCGTATTCACTCTTATTGAGCTAAAATAATGTAAACAAATCTTCATTCAAAAAGTATTTTAGAAATATGACATGAAAATAGATAAGGATTTAAGTATTTTTATGTATTTTTATATATTTTATATATTTATATATATTTAAGTTTTTATTCAATTTTACTTTAAACTGAAAAATCAATAATTCTAATCAAAATAAGCAGGCATAGTAATTCTATAGTATTTGTGAAATAATCTGTTTCTCTTTTGACATAAAGAGTTTCAAGAAAATTCACTGCTTATACAGTTTTAGGAATTTTAAAAATGTTACCTGCTTTTTAATACTGCAATAATTGGCTATAATGCACATTTTGGGGTTTATTATGAGTGATATTTATTTGCAAAATTAGTTTTTTTATAAAAATGGCATTAAAAATACATTATGTAATACTAAAAATATGTTAACATTTTCCTTAGTAAAATTACACAAAATAGTAAGAAGGTACTGCATCCTACTTGATAGTTAACACAGTTGAAATCTGTGACTTGATTAGGATGTGTGTCCTGCTATTCAGTAAACAGAAGATGTACTTTACAAACTTATTTTGGTAATACGTGGAGGGAGAATGTAAAAACGCTTCAGGAGTAAAATATTCCATTTTATAGTTAAGAGGAAAATAATAATCTTGTAAAACATCAACCATCTGAAGATTTAATAAACATCATAGGGGACCTCCTCTGGGTTAAAATTAAAGAGAAAACTCTATAAATTAATCAGGCAGTTTCTAAACAGAACTGCAGAAAAAGTATGGAAAGACTTTTGGTAAGAAAGACACAGAAAGAGCAGTCACACGTGTTATTAGGAATTCCAAATCCACTCGGTTCTACCAAAGTATTTTAATGATCTTTAAAACTGATAATGAAAAACCTCACAACTTACTTGACAATCTTGCTGAATGTCTGTGTGGCTGATTATTTTTTTCTCTGTTCTGAGTCAAAGCACTTCCACTGGTCATGGAAACAAGGTCTAAATCTGTGTCTTCTCTGCTTACAGGGCTTGCCTGGGAGCAGTGGGAGAGAATGTACACAATCATGAAACAAAATATAACATTTTCTGAATGCAGCTCACATTACTTCAAATAAACAAACAGAGTCTGTCAAACAACCTTCTTCAAAATGATACCACAATCCTTTATTGTTGCTTAGGCTGAACCAATGCTCTATGTCAAAGCATTTTTGTAAATAAGAGCCGATTTTAAAATTGTGGTTTGTGATCTGAGTCGGTGCAACAACAAAAGAAAACATTTTAGTACAGTAATTTTGAAGAAAATCAATCTTGCAGACAGCTGATGAAACCTTAAACAGCTTAAGATCATTTACTGACCAGTCTATAATTTAAGCTATAGCTAAATGCCAGAAATGTCATATTAGATTATTTTCTGCAATATTTATGTTTTATCCAGGACATGTATCAGTTCAATCAATCAAGGATCCAGTAAGTAATTTAATCGTTTTGTTGTTCACTACTTTAACCATATCCATCAGAAAGCATTTAAATGATACTTTAGGTAAGAGCATTATATTAATTGTAATCTTCTAACATGCTGTGGTGGTACATTTTGGCATTAGGCATGTTACCTGAATCTAAATATGGAAAAACAGAAGTGAAAAACATCTTATATTTTCGCAATGTGTTCTGATTTTGTGAAAGTGTAAGGCAAAGCTTAGAAATACTGACCTAGAAGATACCGCACACTGGCAGATTAATTGGCAGATCGTTATTTTTGTAGAAATTACTACATTTTTGCTCAAAAAGAGCTCTATTACCTTGAAATGAAAAGCTATTTAACACTAGAAGCAGTTATGAAACAATATTGTTGATTAGGTATGGAGTGCTAGTCACAATCATGGGGAAAAATAAGGCTTTAGAGAAGAGTGATCTACAAAATCCCCAGCATAGAGCTAGCCAGCTGGAAGTACTGAATGTAGGGTATATTTAAATTTTCTAGTGCCTGGAACTTCAGAAGTGTAGTCCAAGATACAGTTCAGGACCCCCCTTTACTTGGAATGAAAAGTGCCAAATCCCATTCATAACTCAGGTATCCAAAACTAAGTTCATTTAAAGAAAAGAAAAAGAAATAATAATAATAGAATAAAATTATGAAAGGGCCAATGCTGGTGGTGATATCATAATGTCACCAAGACTTTATTTACTATCCTAGTAGCAAGTCTGGTAGAGTAGGAAATGAGAGCTTGGGTCCCAACTGCTTCCTTGAAGGGCTTAATTCTGCTGCTCCCTTTTCTTGGGGAAACATCACTGCTAGAAAGTTGAGGGCTATTCTGGAGGAGACACTCTCCAGGCTTCCTGTTTATAGTGGCTCACTATAGCAGGAGAAGCAAAGCACAGCTACAGACAAGCAGCAAGATTACTTTGTAGTCCAATTTAATTTAAGGGACTCATATGAAATGGAGATCTGTTTCATTCCTTTTCTTTTTTTTTTTTTTTTTTCCTAAGGACAGTTCAATGTAAAATTCATTTAAAATTTCGAGTCACTTTCAAATCAACTCCAAATATACAGTGGTTTTGTTTATGCTCTTGCTAAGTGGTCATATTCTACTTGTGTCAGCCCAGAAGGTTTATTCCATTCTTTCCTTTTATATATGTTCAATGACCATGATTTTTAAGTTTTGTTTTACACAGATCGCAGGCTGCATTATTGCTGTTAGCTTTAATAATCTCTTTTCCATGCAGTATTAAGATAATTGGAAAGAACTGACAATTTTCTCCCATTAGTTCTACTTATTTTTCACTGTCTTATTTATAGTCCATTTAAGCTTGCTCAAAATCTTTAAATATAAAGCTTTAAATATAAAGCAATATGATAAGAAATAATGCTCATCATGATGTTCAGAGAAATTCAAAACAATGAAATTGATCAAACCATATTTCCAACTCTTCTTATCTCAACAGAGCAACGTATTTTCCAATGTTTCAATTTCTGAAGATCCAAAAGGCCACGGTAGTATACACAAATATATTTTCTATAGAATTACTATCTAATCCCTGCCAACATAGGTTCTGAAGCTTCATCATCTAGCAGGTAAAATCGCAGTGTATCATATTCTAACATATTCAGTAGGGCTGTCCAGTTTTGTGAGTTTAAATATTTGTTATACTCATTAAAATAAGGATAAATGTTTTCACCCAATTACAGTGAAAGCAATATTAAAAATTGTATTAATTACTTTAATAAATCTAATTTCTGGTTTATAGAGAACCTGACTGAAAATCCTCTAAAGCAATTAAAAAAATTTCCTTTGAAATTAGAGCCCAAAAAAATGGAAGCAACTTAAGATGCTGGTACACTTCTTGACAGAGTGCAGTCTTAGACTTCCATCTGTAGTGATCATTACATTTATCTCTTTGGATATTTTGCCTTTAACTTTATTTTTTTTTTCTAATTAATTGGAAATTAATGTCAATCAGGAGGAATGTTTACTTCAAATGCAATTTGGAATCTGAATATTTGTTGTTTTGCAGTCCTTTGAAGGCTAAGTTTTTTCAAATTTGAACTTAATGATTTGAAGATGCAGATAAATAATGAAGGAGCTAACTCCTTAGGTATATTAAAGTAAGTATTTTCACAAATATGTATTGGGAAAATTATTCTATTATTTGTCATTCACCAAAATTATATTCAAAATGCTCACCTTAAACTGCAGGTCAACATGCCTTCCTAAGAACGTATGAAGTAATATTAAGCAAAATTATCAAGATAACCAAAATAAGGTCTTAGGTTTACTGCATGTTCCTAAAAAGTCATTTCCTGACCAGAACAGCTGAGACTGTACTTTTAATATGCAACCATAGAAATATCACCACACACCAGTCAAAAAGAAAGTCTTAAATTCTTGGAATGTGCAAAAGTCTAAATTATAAGACTATATGTAGTTAATGTAGTACTATCAGAATACAGGGTTTTGGAAACTCATCTTCAAATAGAGATAGGAAAATAAATACACAAGCAGTACAAAGCACAAATTTTATTATGAACCATGAAACTCTAAAAATGCCTATATGATACATGAAAAAAATATTTTTGCTAGAACTGCCCAGAAATGTTTTACTCTTCTGATCTTTGTTTTTGTTGTTTAAACAGTGATGGTGAACTTACTGCAACAATCAAGAATATTGATTGTTGCTATATATTAGCTTTTTTTTTTTTTTTTGGCAGGATTTTATAGCTTTTAGCTGAGTTTCTCTGCAAGAGCATTAGGAGTATGTTCAAGATCGCAAATATAAATTTTTAAAACATAATTCTCCAGCCATTTATACTTACAAACCACATCACTATTTCCTTGCCTATACAATATTTCTGTCTACATTAGAGAGATATATTTTTCCTCTTCTATTTTCTGATCTTCTAATGTATTTTTCTCTGTATTAAATTCATGTGGAACAGCTATGTAATTATGTGGCGCAAGCTGTGATAATCCTGTAACAGTGCCAGTTATGTGGGTGCACCACATAATACTGCTGTGGGATTGTAGCTCTATTTTGTGGACAAAACTGCTTACTGTATATCAGTTACAATCTACCTATGCACATATGCTTACTGATAATTACATAATGTTTATTTTTAGATAATATTATTAGATTATGATTTGCTCAAATTAGAACAAATCACTGTTTCAGACTTTACCTAACAAATAACTACGCAGGCCCTGGCATCAAAACACAGTGAGTAGTCTAGTTCATGACTACAGATAGTGAAATCAGTCGACTACAGACACCAAAGAAAAATCTTGGACAAAGCCTGAATTTAAAAAAACAAATTTTCCTAACTCTTAACATTATTTTTCAGCATATAATTTCAGAAATGTTTTATCAAAAGATCACCAATTTTCATACCTATTGCATAGGTGGTACCTAAGGAATGCACAAATTGGAAAACACACAGTTTGCTCAAAGTATAGAGCTAGATGTATAACTTTATCAAGGGAGGGATTATCTAACTGTGCAAAAGTATTTTATAAAATATATTGTATTTTATATGAAAATCTAAGACTTTGTCTTCTGTGTCCTTCATCCACATTTGAAGTCTGAAGCATTTAAAATTATATCTCTTTTTTTTATTTTTCTTTTTTTTGGGGGGGGGGAGGGGACAGGGAGGGAGTGATGGGAAAGCCATCCTTTGGATGGAAAGCCAATTTCCTATTCTCATCATTATGTGGAATGATTTTTAGTATTTTATCAACGGCAATTTTTTTGCCAATAATGCACAGCATAAAGAAATATAGCCACAAAAATGTTGTCATACTTTATAAATATAGAGTATATATATAAACACACACATTTGCTGAAATGTACTACATTTACCACCTACTGAAATCAAAAGCTGAAAATATTTTACCTATATAACTGCTACAGAAATCAATAATGATCTATTTTATCTTTTCTTCAGGTAGACACGTGGAATATATAAGTAGACAATTGCAATAGTATCAAGCATACACTGTACACATGCAAATGAAAATATAGATCATAATTAAAATCTTTATAAAGCTAAATTAAATATAGTTTGCACATTTTTTAACTCTTCAAATTCACATATTCTTATGTCCACAAGACTATTGCTAATCAGGTTATAAAAGTCATGTATGAAAGAAGTGGGCCTACAGGCATCATTACATTGATCATTATCAAAGGAACTTTGCGATATTTTTGACACAGTTTTTTTATCTTGTAAATCTTCAGAGTGTTGAATTGTTTATATTCCCCTTTCTACCAAACTGTAGAATCACCCATTACATTTTTTTTTTAAACTCTGTAAAGGAAAGAATGAAATGTGAAAAGAGGTTATGGCATTTTAAAGAAAAACAGACTGAAAAATCTAAAAATTGACATGTAGGAATAAGTAATTTTGTGGAGGAGTAATTCTAATTTTTGGAATAAGACTGGAATAAGTCTTACACTTACTTCTGTTTTTAATAAGTCACATTATGCATATCAGAATAAAGTATGTGACTATCGTACAGAGTTTAAGGACCATTAAACTGGTCTGACTGACATAAGTAGATGTTTTCAGTCATTAATGTAATTGCTGTTGAACTATATTTTTAAAGGTTTTTTTAAAGGTTCAGTGAAAGCTTTAAAAAACACCCGGTAATATTTGATATCTTAAAAACAAAAACCAGCACCAGATTTGAAATCAATGCCTTACATGTAAACATGGGTTCTTCTGTCCGTATATTTTCCTCTGATCTCAATCAATGGTTGATTTGATTGCCAAATAGAGACAACATTAAAGAATTAGATTCAATCAAAAAAAAAGCTCCTGTTTGTTTTTATACTAAGTAGGCATGATCAAGGCTGAAAAATTCTACACGAAAACAAGTCCTTACCACGAGCTGTACACGTCTACCGTTGCATATCGCAGGATCTAACTCAGGCAAAAAACGATTACTGTGAAAAATACAGAATGGAAATGTCAATAAACCTCACTGTACTGCATTCACTAAAATATTTGCATATAATTTTTTCCTGGAATTGCTCCTGCTCAAAGGCAGCTAATTGGGACTATTTAAAATAATTGATATTGCTTATTCCAATAATAAGAAGCTATTTTGAAAATGAACATATCAATTAATATAAAAATATATGCCATATATGCCAAAATATATGCCAGACTCACAGAAAAGGGATGAAAGAACTTCCAATAACTTACTAGCACTGGCACTGGCCTAGGTCAGTCCCATAATTGTTAGATATTATTAAATAAGTTGTCACATTATATTATGTAGGAATAAAACCATTTCTTTTCCCTTTTTTTGTTGTTAATTCCTTAATCAACTATAATAAGTTAGATAAAATTACCGTTGATCTAATTACATAAATTATATGTAATAATTAATAAACTATACAGTATATGAACAATAGGCACTTTTTTCAAAGCTTTTTATAATACAGAAACCATTGTCTCTGTTCATGTAAAGTTATGTAGATATTCCTAAATTCTGCATTACCCTACAGTTCATTATTACCGTAGAAGAGTCTATACAATGATTAAACCAGCTCTAAAAGATATTCTGTTTGGGACCTGGAAATGTGTATTGGCTGCTAGCTACAAAGTCATGTTTGTTTTAAGACGATTAACCTAGGTTTCATTTTACAAGATACATTTACAATAAAAAAAATCTAATTTAAAGGAGATGACCTCACCACTTCATACTTCTGGAACTGGCTGCTTCATAATCCCAAACCTGTGTATGAAGCCATTGGTATGTAAAGTCTTTTCTCCGTAGTAATTTCTCATCTAAAGAAGTATCCAGCTGAGAAAATTCTTCTCTCTTACCTGGAGAGGAAAAAGATATTCTTGTTTTGCATTATGATTTTAAAATAAAAGTTTGTGAAAGAATGTCTGAATAAACTTTGGGCATATTGCATAATATAAAATGTCATTATCTCATTTTAAAAAGTTCAAATAATGTGAATTATTTTTTTCTGATATATTTAAGAAATATTTTCACATTAATTTTGAAGTATGTAACTTATTTTGGGGAAGGGATTAAATATCTGTCTTCTGAACAAGAGTATTAATTTGAGAGAGAGGTTCGTTCTTTATTATGTTGCTATATCTTTTTGTATTGGAAATAAATGTTAAACATAAATCGCTTGTTGTAGCACCTACAAACATTGGTCTATATATGTTATTAATTGTCTTATCTTCATGCCTAAAAAATATGCTTTAATTTATATTTATAATCCTATTTACCAGTTCATGAGGTAAAAAAAACCTTCAATATATTTAAGATTAGACACATGGCATTCCTTCTGATCTGTCTTTTAGTAGTAGAATCTATGAAGACATTTTAATGGAAGTTTGTGACATTGGATTTCAAAGCAATTGCATTAAATTATTTTTGAGTAATTAGTACATATTTTTGGACTATGAAAGAGACCCCCAAATAGAGAACAGAATGCCGACATTATGACAAAAAGATGTTTGTTCCGGGAGATTCTTCGGTTTTTCGGAACCCTTCTGGTTGATACTAGATACGTTTTGAAGCATGAGAAAGAGCACAACAGAGAACTGGAACTGTGCATAGGAATCAGCACTGTGACATGGGGACATCAATAGGAACAGAGTAACTTTATATACATATATGTATTTACACTCTCATACATTCATTTTATAGGTTTTTTGGCATCTTTTGCTTGTTTTTTATGAGTCATAAGAAAAAAGTTTTTGTACTTTTGCTTTTTTTTATTTAACTGCACTTCAGATTACTCTGATTTATTTTCCCTCTTACTGTTTATTCCTTTTGTCCTCATGGAGTTTCCTTTCTCTCATTGAAACATTTTACTTGCATTCAGCCACTACTAGAAACTGCTTAGTAAATTACAAGAACTTACCTGTCCTGTACAAATTATTTTCCAATTGAACCAGACAACCATATAAGTCATTTTACTTTGTACTGAGTCTGTTTGTCCACTATTAATGATTTAAGTATCAATAACAGCATCAGGGGAATTAGTACTACCTTTGAAGTCAATAGTTTCCTTACTTTCCTAACTTTAAGCCTCAAGCCTCATTAATGTTTTTGACAATATAAGCTATAGTAAAGAATTATTTTTAAACTTTTCCCTTTGCAAAGATTATAATTCCCTTGGCATGAGTTGCAAAATGTAGTTTTTGTTGCCCAGCCCTTCACTTCCCCAAGCCTCGCAGTGGTTCATTGTTTCCATTGTATTCCAAGGGGATATTGTTAAGGTCTCATGGCTTCTTTTCTCATAATTTTAAATCTTTTTGGCTGTGCTCCCCATTTATTTGAGTATAGAGAACCTCTATTCAATTCATTTGTTGCCTAACACCTAATTAAACTATTAAAATTAGGTAGGCTCCTGGGTCCAGGATATGGACATATATGTTAGTGTCTTGTTAGCTACTGACAGCCTAGAAATTAGGCAGATGAATCTGTTCTCAGATGATGTAAAGAACTCTTTTATAACTCCCTACTATACCTCCCCACTTCTGAATACTCCTGTTTTCAGAAGACAGAGAATTAAAGGCTTGGATGGAGAGTCACCACGACTTCCCAAATGAGGCTATGAGGCCTGATCAAAAAGAACAAGGGGTCAACTTCTGGATCATTACCAAATACCAAAATATAAACAATGCCAATTACTGAGTTTGCCACCTTCTCCTTGACTAGAGTGGGAGCCATTTCTTCTCTTGTAAGTCTATAATATTCTTTTCATGTGTTCCTGGTTCAGGAGCAGATCTTTCTGACCTTTATATCTTGTTAAGTGGCAGTTCCACATTTGCAACTACTCAGGTACCTTCATAACACTTCACATGAAGACACTGATCCATATAACAAGATTAAGAAATATTCTGCACAACTTCATAACAGCATCCTGGAGATAGGACCTTCTGATTTTTAGTCTATGTTCTCCAGTAAGGAGAATATACATTTACAGAAAAGCCAGTGCAATCTTTCTTACCTATCACTCTCCATAGAATTATTTCTTTCTATTAAAATAATAAGTAACAATTATGTATTAACTAGAGAGTTTATACTCTTTTCTTCCATTACAGAAGAAATCTATGTAGGGATTTAAAATCAGTACCAAAACTTTACATCTTAGTATGTGCATTTGATCAAAAGAGTTTGCATACAATCAACTATGTGGAAAATTATAACAAAAAAGGCATAACTTTTAGCTTGGAAAGTTATGTTTCCAAAATTATTGTTAATAAAGCACCTTAGTTGTATTTTGAATTTCAGACTCTCACCTTGGAATAATGCTAGTTTTATTGAGAGCCCTTTAACTATCATTATTGAAAACAAGGAAGAGCTGAAGAAAAACAAAATATGCACAAAATAAATCATTTTTTTTCCTTAAAATTGTATATGCTATTAAAGATATCATTGCTATTATTGGCTATTTTTCTCAAATATGCTGACATAGTTCACTGATTTGTTTAATAATGCTGCAGAAAATTGTATTCTATTATCTTATTTGGGATATATCAGTAGTCTCACATTTTAATAGTAATATCTAATTTTTATGAATTTCAAAATTAATAATTAAAAGAGAGCATTTTTTACTTTCTTACTCTACTTATAAATATCATGTGTGTTTTAGGATATAGTACATCAGTATCATTGACATGTATTTGCTTGATAGTTTTCTTTAATTAGGGCTCTGGGTTTTTAAAACCTGGACCTGATTTTGTAGAAGTACTAACACTCACAAATTCCACAGAAGTTCTTAAGAGCTGCAAGCATTCTGCATCTTTGAAATGGATCAGACCTATAATCTTTAATTGTTAAACCCAGACAACTCACGGAATATCAAAGAAAAAAGGAACACATCAAAGAAGGCACAATTTCATAGAAAACCAAATTAATCTCAGAAGTATTTAAAGTATCATACACTCATTAGATTATCACTGCTAAGCTTTCAATCTTTTCAACTTTTTTTTTTTTTTTTTTCATGATATGCACACTTTAATGTTTTCAGATTGGAATACATTTGGCACTTGTATAGTACTGATTTTTAGGTGTTGTCAAATAATCATCCACACACAACCTGGACACTTAAGTCAGATTCGACAAAGATTTTAGAGGCACTTATTGTCATTTCCATGGAGAATTTTGGCAACTAAGTAGTGAGAACTTATTCAGAAGACTCATCCTAATTTTCTTTAGGTACCTTAAATGTGCTCAGAAATTAGTATTTCAGGAAAATAATATACTATTTTCTTGGTCCAGTGTGCAGATTCTTAAGAACCTGTATTTTCTGAACTGTTTACTCTTTATTTCACAGCTAAGGGATTTTAAGTTTACATAAAAATATTATTCTCAGTCTGACAGATTCTTTACTAGATATAAGATGAGGCAGCATAAGTCATCTCCAGTTAAAATATTAAAGCTAGTTAAAGGAGAAGAGGTATGTGGACCTCGAAGTGCCTTAACTTCTGAGTCAGTCATTTTCTCAAAGATTTTTCTTCAAGACCAATGAATCTTGTGACTTTGGCTGTAGAGGTCATCTTTAAAAAGGAAATGAAATACACTCAAAAGAAAAAAGAAAAAAAAAATCTGGGACTGTGGAAACTGGAAATTCAAATCCCAACAAGCTCAAAAACACCTTGAACCCATGTTTTCCTCTGCCAAGGCAAGTATCTTAACTACAAAATATTACACAAAAGAAGGAAGATGGTTACACAATTTCCTACACTCAGAGAAATGTTTCAGATTCTGAATTTCATGTTTTGAAGAGTCTATGCCCAGGAAACATCAATTCTGATTGTTCTGAATCGCAGGTAGCTTTTGAACACTTTGCCAATTTATGTGCAGAGCTACGAAGGAACCCAATCAAACACAGTGATTTTTGTTCAAATCTACTTGTTGATAGGAAAATAAAAGTTCTAACTTGACATACATTTGTAGAAACAGAGGACTATGTGAAGAATTTTATATTGTATTCAACCATATACTATTAAATTTGGAGTTCTGAGAACAATTTAATTCACTTCAAAACTCACTTCATAGAAAATACAATGCACAGTCAGAGACTAGAGAAAACTAAGACCTACAATGCGAAAGGAAGGCTTGGAATTTCTTCAGCAGTCTAAGTTTTCCTTCCTTAATATAAAAAATCTGTGACCAGAGTTAATTTTCTCAATATGTATTCTGGAAGCACTGCTCTTAAAAAAAGAACTAACTAGATGAGCTTGGATATAAAATTCATGTCAAAGCTATTACTTGATTGAAATTTTTCTTATCCACCAGTATTCTGACTTGTAATATGTATTGCAATATGTAACTTGAAAATTTGGAAATAGAACAGATAATAATAATAATAATAATAGTAATAATTATGAACCATACTAGAATGTTAAAGAAATTAAAGCAATGTTTTTCCCTTCATCAAAAAGAGAGATTAGTGCATTTCTCAGAAGTCTCTTTTGTCAGCACTTACTAAACATATCTAAGCATTATATAGCAACCACTACATGCCCCAAATACTGGATTTTTTTGGTAGAAGAATGGTATTGCTGTTCTTATGGTTATTCTTAGCATGCTCACAGGTATTCAGTGAATGTGTTAGGAATATACATGGGACTTCCAAGCAGTTGGTAGTATAGTCTGGCAATCAGCGATGCAGTTTTCTTAATACATTTATTTAGGCAATAATTCAGGTTAATTGGATTTTTCCAATAGCTCAAACATATATTTCAAATAGCTACTTAAAAAAAACAAACAAATAAAAAACCCATGTTCTATGTATGTTCATAACTCTAAGCTCTAAGTTTTCCTCCTTGAGCAGAGGAGTTGGATTAGA